TTGTAGTTTAATCTTTTTTGTGAATTTTACTTTTTCTTCTTCTCACTCTCTCTGTCTATTTAAGTTTTACTATGTTTTTGAGGATAGTGCTCAGAGGTAAAGCATTTGGTTTGAAGATTACTTGAGGTGTGGAACTGAGTATCTCCATGCAGTGTTAATTCCTATGTTTGCATTGTTTCTTTCAATTTCATATAAATTTTTCTATTGGTGTTCTGATTTAAGATAAATCTACAGCTGCAAATCAAATTTCTCCAATTCAGATAAAGTAATAGAAGCAAGGTAATGTGAAAGGCAATACCATGCATGTAACAAAAAAAAAAACAACTTAACCTTGCAAATGCCAAAAGCCCACCTCTAATAGCAATGATCGTTTCTCTATTTTTGGTTTAATGTTCCTGCAAGGATTGAATGTCCATGTCATAACAAGCTAAAAATAAAACTGGCTTTGATTTTACTTGGATAATGTATTTGAGATTGAAAAAAATGTCCCAAATGCACAACAGATATATTGCCATGATTTGAATGTTAAAACATGAAAAGTCATTCTCAAAAACAGCACATTTCAGGATATATATATATATATATATATATAAATTAATTTTAAAATAACTGATTCAGTAAAGAACATGCACAAAATAATGACTGAATTTCTAAGGTTAAATTTAAAAATGGAAAGTCAAGTACATAATACTGTCACTTAGAAGAGCTTACAGCAATAGTACATTGAAACACTGGTTCTCATACGATCACCATAGTTAAACAATGTTGAGCCTTGTCAATATGTTAATCAGAGAGCTGAGTCTGAATTCCAGTTGGGTTCATTATATTCCCTTACATGAAAATACCTTTGGGAAAGGTATGAATCCACCTCATCTTCCCCCAGCTATGGGTAAATTAATAAGATTTGTCACACTAAAAAAAAAAATTCTTAAAATCTAAAAATATATTTTCTGGCTTTATATAACCTGAATCCATCAAATGACACTTAAAAGTAACTATATATATATATATATATATATATATATATATATATATATATATATAACATCACAAAGAATTACTGTTGATATTTAGTGTAAGGATAACTTGAGTTTTAAATTCTGTTTGATAACTTTCTATTCTTAATTTTGATGATACTTCATAATTAATTTTGCTGCCATTTTTATTCCCAGTATTTTAACCAATATATTCTTTTTATATATTAATAACATGATGAAACCTTTTTAAAACTAAAATAATTTCAGAATAATGGTATTCAATTCTGTTTTAACTATAATCATACAGCAAAATAATGATTAATAGTAAAACATTATTACAAGATAATATCAATATCAAATTAAAAGATCATAATAATATTGTTACATAAAGATAGCTCAGTGGTAGAAACTCTGACTGATCGGTTGGGTTTCAATCCGGGCTTGAAGTATTTGGATGTCTAGTCGCACTGAGGAGCTGTGATACAGCGAAACAGTACTGTCTGTGAATGACATATATATATATATATATATATATATATATATATATGAAATAATAATAATAAAAACAAAGGAATATTAATATACAACCCAGTGTATCTAAAGTTTTTAATTTTTTAATATTTTTTATTGCTCAAAATATATATATTTGTAGTGTATTGGGGCAGCAGATAATTATTTAACCATATATTGTTAAATATAGCAGACAATGAATGTCTACTATGTTTGATCATGAGCCGTTCTAAACTCCATATGGTTGCTTCAATTTCAGGTGAAAGTAAAGACAAAATCTGTTCAACATTTGGATATTTTTTTAATTAAGCTTTTGGTCCTTGATCTATACTTTCAGCTCAAATGAAATTAAAGCAACCATACAAAGTTTAGAATGGATCATGATCAAGCATAACATTTATTGTCTGTTACATTTAACAAGGTAGGTTTAAAAAATATATATATATATATATATATATATATATATATATATATATATATATATATATATATATATATATATTAATCGCTTTATTATAATTTTAAAATTATGTATGCACATACACTTCATCATGCATTACTAGCCACTTCACATTTTATCGATACATATAAAATAAATACTAAATGAACTCTAATGGTTTATGTGCCAAATGCTAGCAACATCTAGCTGCACACCTAGGATGAAAACACATTTGTTCAGTGAAGACATAAATAAACAGCATTACTTGTTTGAAATAACATGAATTTGTTAATCACAAACTAATAACCATTTTGACTTTGAAGATTTAAAATGTGTCATAGTAATGATTTAATAGATAAAAAGCAACATTTATTACTTCTGAGCTTGAAAAAGGTAAAATAATTCTGAAAATTGAAAAATGATTGGCTGAAAAGAAATTAATTGAAGATGTTGAATGAATCTGATGCTGGTATGATAAGAGCAAGTTGAAGACTTTATCTTGCTAATCAGTGTTATTAAGAAAGAACTTGTTTTAATCATTTCACCCCAAGCTAGGAAATAAATCCACTAAAACACAAGGGGTTACTGAGTGTAGAAGAATGAGAAAAAAAATTATTCAGAGAGAGAGAACAATAAAAGGAAGATAATGATTGACATTGCATTTAAATTTTTGAAGATCCAAGTTGACTTTTCCAGACAAGAAGCCAGAAGATAATTCCACAAACATGAAATGCGATAGAAGAAACTGTTACCATAAAATTTAGTTATATCTAGCAATTTCAACTTTAAAAGGATGAGACCTAACTGCCAATCTAGTACTATACTTAAATTCATAAATTTGAAGTACCAAAGAAAAAAGTTTGTTAGGACAATTGCCATGAAAATATTTATAGAAAAGACACAGGGTAGCTGTTACAGCAATGGGGGAAAATGACTGAAACCAAGATGCCAGGTCAGGACCAATAATAATAAGTTAGATAAAAAAAAATCTGTCTTTGACAAGCTATGAAAAGTTTAGAAATTGTTAGATGCTGTGAATTCCAAGAACGGGGACGGATGTGAATTAATGGTAGTCTGAAATATCCTGAATTTCAAAAATTAAAAATTAATAGCTATGTCAGGAGCTTGAAGCTTTAAAATAATTTGTAAAGATTATTTGATATAAAAAGAAGGATGTTTAATAACAGAGTTTTAAAAAATTAGGACAATGTTGGAAACTGCAGAAATGACTGGCAGGTACCACTGAACTGTGAAGAAGTTTGTTGAAGACCCTAGATGTCTTCTAAACAGGACTGTACTCATCAATCTGATCCCATATCAAGACAGAAGTTATAAAGAGCTTCAAAGACATCTCTTAAGAAAAGAAAATTAACTGCTCAACAGAATTCATGAAGGCTGATATTTCAACTATTCTTTTCACTGACAAATGACAGACTACTCTTAATGTCCCGGAGAGATGTCATAAAAGCTGGGTAGCTACTAGTGGAAATTGCTGCAATAGGTCGAGATGGTAAAAAGATGGAGGTTGTGTGATTGTTGGTTGTTTTTGTTTAGCAGAATATCAACCTCTACAGGCCAGAATCTAAAAATTTTTTTATGTAATTTTATTAATTTTTTTTTTTTTTTCGATAATAAAAGTTGTAGCGATAAATGTCTTACTAATTAACCAATAGCTGTTGGGAAAAGAGGTGGATACATATCTTTCCCAAGAGCATTTGCACATAAGTGAGTATAATGAATGCAACTGGAATTGGAACACGGTTTGCTAATTAATAGTTCCCAGCCATTATTTATTACAGCACCAGCATATACCAACTTAAAATAAATGTTTCTTGCAATTTCAGTAATCTGACTATAAACTGAAACTTCAAAAATCTGGTAAAATTCATAAAAATTGTTAGCACAGCATGAGTGAGATATAAGCTAATAGAATTTTTACATATGGCAAATAGCCTACACATTACTAAAGGAAATATTTCCCTGGATACGTACAATAGTCTATCTAAGGTGAGGAAATGTTAAAACTATAAACATTGCATTTCCCATTATAGTTTATATTTAATTTCATAGCATGGCAGAAACTTTTTATAACTTTTTTTTTTATGAAGGTCATAGACATGTTAGCGATAATGACTCTCCACAATTTCCTGTCCTTTGTACATCTTAATAAATTTTGTCTTTTTGTGATCTCTCCTAAACCTTTTCCCACCATCCCTTTACTCAAGCCTGTTACATGTTGTTTTCCTCTGTCCCTCTTGCCTCCAGTCTAGCCTTTGAGTATCAAATTTTCCAAGCCCTCTTCCTAATTATATTCATAGTGTCAACTATCTCTTGCTGATGCTATCTCTTTCTGATGCTATGAATAACTGTCTTTATTGCTTCCATTTTCTCTAAGACTTTATCATTGTTCACATGTTTGGTTCATGGTATTCTCAGCATCATTCTGTAGAACCACATTTCTGCTTCTTCAAGTCTTGTTTACATTTATGGGATGATTGTCCAGCCATATAGGAGGACTGATATTGCATAACATTTCAGTATTTAAAATCTTCAATATGCAGTTACCAGATATAATTGCATCAGTCACCCAGGATTTTTAGTGAACTTTTTCGTAGATCAGTGGAACCTACTATTTATTTTTACAATTCTTTTGCATTATTTTGTCTTTTGTAGACTCTGAAGTCATTAGATATTTATCCTTATATCCAAAATCCACCTTCAATCCATTTTAAAGACTTAAATTTACCACATGGCTATTCAGATTTTGAATTTCTGGAAATTTTATACAAATCATAGCTATTAGGTTGCATCTGTGCATATCACAGATGCTTTCATCTTAATTGCACATACCATCTTTCAATGAATAAACATTTAGATTTTAATAAAACATGAATTAGTTAATAATTTGAGATACAGTGTATATATGAGTCAGACAGAAACAGTAAAATATCAACCAAAAACGTTTGTCAAGATATAGAAGGTGGAGGAGAGTAATTGAATCAGACGTGAAAACAACCATAGAAAACATTGAGGAATTGTTGACATGTGTAAATAAAATAATTGTTTCTACTTACTCATGTGGATCTGCAGCATTACCCCCAGGAAAGTACAGATCCATGTGTGTAAATCGAAGCTGTACCCTCTCCGGACCAGAGCCCTCAAATGTGAAGCGACATGTAATATCCCCAGGGTATGGATTTGGGTAGTTTGGACTCGTTATTGTACCATTCTTGCCATCAGCACTGCTAATATGCCGGTTGCAGTTAGTTGCTAGAAAAGAGAGAGATGTTACTGCATTATAAAGAAGAAAAATATGGCCAAGAAAGAAAGGAATAAAATCTGAAAAATGCAAGAATTTAATTTTAATTTAGAATAATTAAGGACAACAACAAAATTGCAATATTTATAATATTGATTGGGATGAGTATTATGAGACATGGATGCATTCATACAAAATTTGTCAGCATCATTTTTTTCACAATATTAGGGAAATCTTAGAAGTATCTTTGAAGTTGACTGAACTCTTTATTAATTCTTGAAGTCACACTAAAATTATGTATTCATTCTTAATAAACAAGAACCACCAACATTTTGTCCTTCAAGCTAAACCCAATATACAGTAAATATTCTCTAATTGAATGCATGATCGAAAGACACGATTTCTTCAATACAAACAGTCTAAAAGAACTATTTGAAAATATTAAAGATGGATTATATCTGAAAATATAAACAAAAAACAAAGATTGTCCATTTTCCCAAAATATAAACTAAAATAAATCAGTTTTGGGATATAATGTCTCTAGATAGTTGATATGACATTAAAAATCTACTTTATTAATTTTGGAATTAATCAACTACAGTATATGTCACAAACCTTTAGAAAAATTTAGAAGCTTCCACATAATTCTTCAGCAAAGAACATTGCTTACTATTTAAACATTTGCATTTCTCTTTTTTGATTCATATAGAAAATTGTTACCACTGAACAAGATAACCACTGACCAGTGAAAATGAACTTATTATAATGACAGGAAATAAAGAAAATCATGGCTACATCCAAGAAAGCCTTCAATAGCTAAACCTAAGCAGATTTTCTCTGTAGTATGATTCAAAGAGAATTTCTTATTACAAATTACTTGAGCTTGAACAGTATGTTAATGTTGACTTCTACAGTGAATAATCAGGCTATTTGGACTGAAAGAGAAAAGGTATTTTTTTTTTCCAAGCAAGGAACCTGAGTGGTGATTTTCTTTGACAAACTCATTATATTGTAAATGTAGCACAACAGATAATCATGGAGTGGGAAGTTGGAGGCATATTCTTCCAACCTGTCACCTTAAGACTCTCACTTGTTTTACTTCAAGCTTCACTTCTTGTCTGATCAGTGGTGCCAACAAGTTCAAGACCTCAGAAAATCTATCAAATCAATACTGGAATCATTCTTTTATGATATACATAATTTGTCTGAAAAGCAGCATAAGATCTAAGAAAGCCCCCAAAAAACTTTGATGACTCAATAATAATGTTATTAATATGAACGAAAGATTTTATCAAAAATGCTGTAAAGTTTTGTATAAACTCCATAATCATTTATTTTTTCTAATCATTTGATCCCAAGCAAGGTGGGAATGCCACTAGTATACAAGCAGTTACAGAGAGCAAAGGTGAGAGAAAAGACTGAGTATAGAGAGGATTGAGGAAAGGACAAAAGATGACTGTGATCCAAGAAGATAGAAGATGGCAATTGATGTTGAATTTAAATATTTGAAGATTATAGTTATTATGGAAGCAAGTAAGGGAAGGTAGTTCCACAAGCAGGAAGTGTGAGAAAAGAAATTGTAGAAGTAGCAGTTACATTTAGCTATTAGTAAATGAGTGAGACCTAGATGCCAATCTAGTAGCATGCTTAAATTCATGTAATCAGGGTGCCAGGGGGATAAAAGAGGGATGTGGGGTAGTGTAATAGTTATCTATATGGAAAGTGGAATCAGCAAGCTAAGTTTAAATTGTGACCTAACTGTTCTCTTTGGCACAAATGCCCTTGGAACAGGCATGAATATATCTTTTATCCACATAAAGCTGTGGGTTAAAAAAACAATACAGACTGGGCTTTCTAGTTTTGTAGGGAGAAAAATTAAAAAAACTGTGAAGACAATAGAAAACTACTTTACTATACTTCCTAAGTTAAAGCAAGTCACAGACATTGAAAAAATAAATCTGTAGAGAGTCATGATCACCTACATTTTGAGGAGAGAGACAACCTTTAAAAAAAAAACATTTATATTCTATTTTTTTTAACTTGTGTTACTTAAATTGTTACTTAACACATTCCACTTTTTTTTTCTTCACTTATATCCTGTCAGTCAAGTCACTATCTTTAACATTCATAATTGTTTTTTATTGATTTTTCTTTTGTAACTGTAGACTTTATGTGTGTATGGTATGGAGGAAGGAGCAAAATAATTTGGGAAGATTCACAGATGTTTGGAAGTATGTCAGTGAAGTTATTTCTTTTAAGAGGATAAATTTTTTGCTTCATTCTTCATGTGGAAAAGTAAGTACACCTGCATACACTTATGAAGCAAGACATTCAAGCACAAAACTTCCATATTCACATTATATGCAACTCTGGCACACACAGTAGATACTTAATAGACACTCCAGCCATTACAGACTTTAAACTTGTACACAGTACATTTAAAGGTAAATGTGGTGTCAGCACTGAAACAAGAATAAAGATACTAGTTCAAAATGATCCATGAAACAGGTTGTAAATATTTTCTGATTTCAGAACTTAATTTTATTTTATCGTGTTTTAACGATAAAATAAAATTGTTGTAAAATCTCTTCATTTTTTTTGTTTTCTACAACTTATCCATGCTTGCTGGTCATTTAAAGCCAGAAAATATTTTTAGACTGTAAGATTTTTTTTTTGAGATAATTATGATTTACTGATACAAGACTTACTAATTAACCCATAGCTGGGGGAGAAGTGGCTTCATATCTTTCACATAATTGCATATAATGAACCCAACTAGAATTTGAAGTTGATTCTCCAATTTACAATTCTGAGCTATTATCAGCTGCACATCTAAGTTTACAACACCAGGTATTCCCAAGTGGTCACCCGTCTAGGTAATGACCCTGTTCAGTGTTGTTTAATTTTGATAATTGTATGGGAACCACTGTTTCAATGTCATATGGCCATGAGACCAAACAGTGTCTGATAAGGAATGGAAATTTTCAGTGAAATTTTATTTCATAATGTTTAGGATTCAATTTGCAGCAGAAATATTCTGTCATTCAGTACTTCATTTCACACAATTTCCATTAGGTTTTAAAGATAAAACTTGGTAATAAACTTATAAAAACGTATTAAAATGGCTCAGTATGGATGGCTTGGATTAATTTTTGTGTATTGCAAGCACAAACATATATTATAAAAATTTGTGTCTCGGAACAAAACACCACCAAATTCTCTGGAACAAATATAATTATTTACATTAGGATGATTGATCTCATCTTTGTTATTACAGTGTTTCGAATGCTGTGCCCGCTAGCCTTCACTAAGTTGATATTGATCCTGGTAACCTACAGAGAAAATGAGTATTAGATGAGATATCTCTAAACATGGGCAGTGGGACAAGGATGGTCTAGCCCTGTAGATTAAATAAAGGGTTCAGTTTGGAATTCCCTGCAGGATATCCAGATTGATATATACCAGATGAAGGCCAGAGGGCACATTGGCCGAAGCACTGTGATAACAACAGCAGCAGCATAGATGAGAAGAACAGTCCGCATATAACTAGTGTAAACGATAGCTTCTCATCCCAGAAATTCAGTTAGAAAAATATATAACTCAACAAAAGAAGAAAAAAAATAGTATAAAAATGTATTAGTCCAACTTTGTGAAATAGTTATATATATATATATATATATATATATATATATATATATATATATATATATATATATATATATGGTAAAAATATAGTTTTGAGATATGCTTTATTTATAGGTAAAATGCTCACTATCAAAGATTGTGTATTGAAATGTAAAATTGGACACTGGGGCCAACACCAATCAATGACAAGCCATGTGTATTGTTTTGGCTCAACTATTTATATATGCTGGTCAATGATGCATTATGGGTAATAAGGTTTATTGTATTATCTTAATGGTTACTGGGTAGGTGATAAAGGTTATGTTTCAAATTGTTCTATATTTTATTGAGTAGAATAATTGTTGGTTCAAATGCAGTTATTTGTAGCTATTTTATAGTTTGTTAATGTTTTATATATATATATATATATATATATATATATATATATATATATATAACCTATTTTATAGTTTTATATATATATATATATATGTTAATCTATACATAGGGTGTGTTTTTTTTATTATATCAAATATTATTAAGGTGGACACTTTGTATTTGCAATATCTGTCCTATTTTTTATTTATTAAACTGTATGTATCATGTCAACTTAGTAAAGAAAATGTGTTCTCTGGCAAATAGGGAAAATAGAGTCCTGTTTGCTGAGATGTCCTTGGTGGCTGAGTAGTAAATCATGCCAGATCAAATAGTGTTTTCCCCTACAAAGGAGGACATAGGTTTGATTATTGCTGAAGAAGACATTTTCTTTACTAAGATTTCTCGAGTGTGTAGACCAAAAGACACTGTTTAATAAATAAAAATGGAGTGACTATTTCAAATAAAATGTGTCCACTATAACAAAGTTTGAAGTAATAATAAATGTCAGATCCATATATGTGCATAAAAAATAGTCTCATTTATAAATAACCATGTAACTGATGTGTGAAAATTTTAATAATTTAGTCTTTTAGACATTCAGTGTTGCTATAGTTTATCTGTAGATGTGTGGGCATGACTAAAAAAAAATTACCATAAGTATAAGAAAAACACATATAGATCTATGTGCATGATGGCACACACAGATAATCTTGAATAGAACAAGTGTGCTAAGCAGAAGATTTTGAAAACAAAAATGCTTCTAAAAATGAAGCAGATAAAGACATTAAAAATCATTGTATTTTTAAAAATTAAAAAAAAACATGAAATGAATTAAAATATGCATAGATTAGAATAGAGAAAAGAAATATTTAGGAGAAAACAAAAGATTGTCGATAGCAGAAAAAGGAAAAAAATTAATTGAAATGCAAATGAGAAGGAAGCAGTGAAGCTCAAGAAAATATCTTGTGCTGTGACATAATTGTGGAAGCAATGGCAATTGCTATTGCAA